CTTAGTGGAATTAAATTACAATCCATGTGGGCTCGACATCCTAACTTTCATACTATATTACAAAACTTGACACCGTACACTTGCGGCATAAATTCACGTTGTAGAAAACGCGTGACAGGAGGTGGGCGGCCAATGGGGTCCTGGGTTGTCATTGAAATTTGTGGAAAAACATTCTATATGTTTTTTTTTTTTAAGTACTATATTTTGTGTTTGAATTTTTGTTTTTTTAGTTAAATCAGACCCCACTGAACTTGAATCGTGACTCTGCTACTGATAGCAACCATGAAATATTGTAGTGGGAATTAATTATCCCATTGAATATAATATTCACAAAGTTGGCCTTTTGCAACTCTAGAAATGCCGTTTGATAATGTGTTATGTGTCTTACTCGAGATCATGGACCATTCTAAGATGCTCAAAATTGACTTCAAACTCTCTTTGTCAAAACGAAACTCACCAAACTGCCCAAAACCCAACTTTTAAAGACCTTTTTTTGGCTGTAATACTGTAGAGTCAAGTCCAACTTGGCCATTCTCTTTTGTTAGGTCGAGTGGAATATGACCTCTCTTTTTATTTTATAATAGGTTATGGACTTTTCTCGAACTGAAGTCATGCTAAACAAAGATTAGACTGTACAACTGGAACTTACACTAGTTGAGGAGCCTTTTATTGGTATGAGTTTACTTATTTTAGTTGTAATTCAACTTTCTGTTATTGGTCAATAAGAAAAATAAGTTACTTATATTTAATTACAATTTTGATTTGCATAAAAGTTAAATCGAATTGTGGAGAGAAATTTGCCTGTTGGATTAAAAATATAGAAAACAAGCATTAATTTTTTGAAAGGATGACAAAAAGAGAGAACATTTAGTGGCTTGGGTCGTTTGTCGACACAAATCCATCTTAATTATGCTACTAACGTCTTCTCATGTTCGAGGTCCAGATACTTCACCAAGGTAAGGAGGGTGAACTTTAAGGCCAGTCCTATTGGAAATAAATTTTTTTATTACTCTTTTCTTCAACAAAAGGGGTGGTGGCGCAGTTGGCTAGCGCGTAGGTCTCATAGCTTAAAGAGTGATCCTGAGGTCGAGAGTTCGAGCCTCTCTCACCCCAGTAATTGTTTTTCATAATTGATGACATTTTGATTATTTAGCCTTTTTTTCCCAATATTTGAACTTCATTAGAAATATGAAAAAAATAATTATAATAATAAAATTGGGACAACATGAATTAGTTCGAAGGAAAAAAATCATGTTTGGATAAAGATGTGAAGAAAATTTAAACTTTACTAACACGAATCTCAAATTTTTTCGCAAAAAACACAATATTTGGCCATTGTTTGGAGAAGAAAATCAGTGGTAGAATAAGAGGTGATAAAGGGTTTTTAAATATAGTTTTGCTTATTGGAAAATAATTCAAAACGTACTTAATTTTCGTTATCGTTCTTTTTATAGCCTAAAGCAATTATGAAAATTGAAGAAATTTTGTCGTAATATGTATTAAGAATAATGAATTCAAGCCATGATTTGTATATTATCTACTATGGACTCTGCTTTTCAGTTCACTTGGTTACTTAAATTCATTCTGCACAAAGAATGGACCAAAATATGGTTTGATTCGCAACAATGTCGATGAAATGAACAGTACAATGTACAAAATTTTAATTTCTTAAAAATACTAATATGATAAACAAGTTTAATATTTTAGAATTTTATTTGCTTAACTTTATCCCACGAAAAAACGACAACTTTTCAAGAGAAGTACTCAATAAGGTATAATATATAGGCGGAGCTGCAAGTGTAAAATTACTGATGAAAGCACGTCATTATCATTAAGATGATCTTAAAATATAACCTTAAAGGACTCTGTCAATGGAAAAAATAATATGAGAATTTCTGTAGAGATTCTTCAAGATGTTAGGTAGCTCTTGTAAAGAAGATTACCGTATTAAAAATTTTATACAGAAATTTGAATGAAACAAAAACCAGAAATTAAATGAATGAAACAACATTAAGGATAGAAATAAGTCGAAAATCTTGTCAAGTGTACTATATAGTTCTGTCCAACATGTTCTCAGACATGAACTCGAGTAAAGCATGAAGAATACGCCAGGCTTGTTGATACTCTTCTACAATTTGGGTGAATATCTAGCACTTTTCTACAACAACTCTACCAGTGAATATATAAACAATTTTATTTGAAGTATTCTCAGATGCATCAGAAAAAGAATCTGAGAACTCAAATTCTGTGATAAGAGATTCTTTACAACGCTTACACTTACCTCCTGTAGAGAAGATTATCGTGTTCAGATTTTGGAATTTTGAATGAAACAACGGACCAGAAACACAACTCAGTAGCAAACATGCTATCACCGTGAACATTTACATTAAATAACTTCGCATTTAGCACCTCACCTCTGATTTGGTGAGATTTCGAGTAAATTCACAATTCCAGCAAGACCATATTTTTTGCTACTCATCGAACATTTTGATACAACGTTACATGTCAAACACATATCAAAATGTTCGATGAGTCATCCATAAAAGTATTGTGAAACCCAACCTCGTGAAAAGGTTTTCATCCAGTTTGACATCTAATATCGCATAAAATGACAACCCGCTCCAATTTTCAAACACGTTCATCTCCTTCCCTTCACACCCACCACTCAAGAGTTTTCACCGCGAACGAATCTACATCCCTCCAAGCCCATTCATCTTCTTCAAGTGGAAGTTTCATTTTACGAAATGAAGTAGAGTACATGAAATAAATATGAGACATATAATATATAATATAAACAGAGTAAGTAGTAACCGTGGTTCCTCATCTAATGCTTTTGTTGCATTCTCATCTCCAACCTTTCAAAACCGAGAGCCTTTTATGTGGAAAAAACTGAACAAGGGCTCCACTCGTTCTGGTCCTAAAAGAGAGGCCTTTAGGGAAAAAAAATCCCCAACAAATTTTGATCTAAAATCTAACAGCTTGCTGAATACAATTTTACAATTCAAATATTGTCATTTGCAATCATCAATAGATCAAAACAGTAGTAGCATCCGTGCCAGAATAATACATAAAATTCATTATCTTTGATACAAGCAAAACTATGAAAAATCATAGATATGATAAGGCTTTATATAGGCAACTGAGCAAAATAACATTTCACTTCCATGATAATCAAACTGAAAGAAGAAATAACAGAAAGAAATTGACGATTTCGATCGAGCTGTTGAGGAAATCTTACAACTGCAGCATGAACAGAGGATCAATATTAGAATAACATTTCTGCTATGAATATAAAAATGATTGCGATCCAATGTCTCGAGCCCCCTTGCTAAAAACTTCCATATTGCTGCGTAAATAAACTCGATTGCCTTAATGCTTACGGTTATGCCTCCTGCTGCTGCTGCTCTTCCTTCGCCGGCTTCTGTCCTTGGAATCGGATTCTGAATCCGTGTATGAATCAGAGGACTCAGACGAAGAGCTGTACTTCCGGTGCCTCCTCTTCTTTTGCTTCTTCTTTTTGTTCTTCCGTTTTCTCCTCTCTTCCTCAGAATCTGTGGATGAACTGTAACTCGACTCACTCTCCTCAGAAGAATCATCTGATCCAGTAACTGCACTGTCTGACTCAAATACTGAAGCATCGCTATCCTTATCAGACTCGGTTTCCGACTTATGCTTCCTCTTACTCTTCTTCTCACGTTTTTCATTCTTTTCCACCTGAATATCCGGGTTGTCCAAATCATATGAAATAGATGGCTTCATCCTCAGTTTCGGGTTTTTCAATTGCTGTGTACGTGATGGTCTCGAGATATAAACCCTCTCGTTCTTGCACTCATACGTCCAATGCCCTGTTTGGAAGCACTTCTGGCATTGGGAAGCAGCCCCGAGGGCAGATGCCGAGGACTTGAGGTCTTTCCTTTCGCCCAATCTCACTTGTTTCTCAGTACTCATCAAATACATTTGCCTCTTAGCTTCCTTTCTCTCCTGCCACCGACTCGGCCCCTCTTCCTTCTGTCCATACGCATTCACATTACGAGCAGCAGCCGCAGCAGCACGCTCGGCCTGTGCGCGGCTGAGTCCCTTTGCAGCCGATAGAGCCGCAGCCTTGACTCGTTCTGCAGCATCCTGACCGCCAATTTCATCTTTGTTTTTCGACATACTCAACTTTCAGAATTCAACAACACTCCTTAATTCTCACTTCACGTACAATTTCTGCTTCAAAAAAAGGGATTGATCAATTATTCAAACCCTAGAACTCAAATTTAAGATAATTTAAATCTAACAAAAAAAAAAAAGAATGATAATAACAATAAGTCTTGATTACACAAGAACAATTATTCATAACACTATAAATTAAGCAAAACGATTAGCGTGATCAAAACTTAAATACAACTAAATTTTTAAAAATAAAATATCTGCTTCTGAAAAGAAATAAATTGACACCATTATCTTTCTTAAACATAAAAAACATAATATCTGTACACAATAAAATTAACCCCTAAACTGAATATTTTCACCATACGTAAATACAGAAGGTAATGGGGACTGACCATTCGTAGCAGTCTTCGAAGTCGGAGAGGTTGGCGGAATCAATTCTACGGAGTGATTACATGTATTTTTTGGTTAAAATATAGGGTAATTGGAGTTAGATGCTTCAAATAATTTTTTTTAATAATGGTACCGCCAGCTTACGCGCACCTCGACTAATCTCACGCGTCCTGAAGTTTACGATAAGGTACTCACCTTAATGATCCCGAGAAAACTCGAACTGATGACTATTAGAAAGCAAACACAATAATTAAACAATTGAACAAGCCCTCAAAGTTAATATTTCAAATAATTACTCACACCCATTTAATACTTTATAATAATTACTAAATTTTGCCCCTTTGCACCCCCATTCATTGTTCACTAGATTTCGTTTCATGACACGTAAACTTCTAATCGTATCGATTGAACTGTTTTGTCAAATGTAATTTATGTTTCTTTTTTAATGTTTGGAAGAAAAAAATTTCAAGTTTCACCAACTACAAATTTATATGTTATTTAATACTATATTAATATTAAACCATTAAAATTTATTGAATAATCAGATTTTTTGAATAAAATATTATTAAAAAAAATTTCTCAAAATTTCAAAGTAAACGCGTTTTCCATTTTTATGTTTTCAGAAACAGTTTTTCAAAATGACAAAAAGAACGTATTTTCAGAAATTTCAAAACAGACACACAAAACACAAAACACAAAACACAAAATGAATTCAAAACACAAAACTGAAACACAAAGAGAACGGCCCCTAAATTTTGCCTGTTTGCAGCCTCATTCATTGTTCACTAGATTTCGTTTCCTCCCACATGATAAGTTATGATTATTTAAAAAATTGTTTCATAACTCACCAAATTTATATTGTGGTCACAATTTACCTAACAAACTTCAAAATGCTTTTCAATGTCACTCATTTTTTTAGAGTTGCAGTATATCTATCACCCGCCAAACATCATTCCCTTAGTTGCTAACATGTCGCTCGGCAATTCCACGTAACAAGTTACGGTCGTTAAAAAAATCACAACTCAATCAAATCATCCAACTAACCAAAATTGACTAGTGTAAAATGCGGCATCATAAACTTCTTTAAGCCCTAGTAGTTCATCCCCAATCAACTCCTAAAAATCCTAGCCTCCAATTCACTCATTTCACCCATAGCCTGCTAAATTATATATTGAGACATGGCCGATTGTTAAGAATGCTAAAAGTTACTATTTATAAAGTCATATTCCTCATTGTGTCATCTATCATACGTATCTTTAATTTTAATCTTCCATATTTGTAGATATGCATCCAATTATTTGAGGAAGGAAATGTCTTATCGAACTCCAGTCAAATTGGGAACGAAGAACAACAAACACAAACAAATTATCGAAGTTCAATAACATTTTCTTTTTCAAATGGTTGGACACATGCCTGTAAAACTAGAAGATTAGGTTTGGAAAGACAATGGGCAAATTGTACAATTGGGGGATAGAGCTTCATAAGTAGTAGTTTTTCACGTCCTTCTTAATAATCAATCATGTCTCATAACATAATTTAGTTGTACGTGAGTGAAATGAATGAATTGGAGGCTAAGGTTTTTTGGGGCTAAAAATGAGAACGAACAATCAGGCTTAAAAGAAGTTCATGGGGCTATGGAAATTGCGTTTCACATGTGATGAATTTGGAGAGTTGGATGATTTGTCTGAGTTGTAATTTTTTTAAAACTTTCGTTACTTGTCAAGTGGAATTTTTGTGCAACACATCCCAATGAAGAAAACGGAATTTGAAGGATGGTAGATGAAGTGCAACTCTCAAAGATAAGTGATCATTAGGAAGCATTTTGAAGTTTGATGAGTAAACTGTGATCATTGTATAAGTTGGATGAGTGATGAAACAATTTATTTGGATGATTTGGTTGAGTTTTAATTTCTTTAACAGCTATAACTTATCACATAAGATTGTGTTTGACACATCAGCATACAAGGAAAACGAAGTCTAACAAATGATGGATGAATCGCAAACAAAGAAAGTTTAGTAAATATTATGAAGCACTCTGAACTTTAGTTAGTATTCTGCGACCATGATATAAGTTGAATTATTATTGAAATATTTAACTTTCTAGTGCTCTATATAGAGATTGTAATCTCATTATTATTGTTATAGTAAAAAGCTGATTTGTAGTTGGCCTTGTGAATATAAAAACATTGCCAAACTATTAGATCGATGATTCCTCTCATTGTTTTTATTTTAGTATTGACATTGCTTTTGCGTACGAATTGTAATCCTGTTGCACTTTTCACAACAGGAAAATAATTGGCAATGACACATTTATTGCACTTTTGCCTTATTATACAATAAGTAATGATATATAACACCAACAGAACTATCATTTAATGTTACTATATTACTATGTAGATTGATCTTAATCAATTATAGACGCTAGTGTGTTACATAACATTATTCTTATCCAATGGACATTTCTTTCTTATATTATACTACTAAACTTCAATGGCTGTGCAGAATGGCAAGTAATGCAAGGGCGTGTATGGCAAAAAATAAAGATACCCACGATTCCATGTATCCCATAATTATATGAGAAATATAGAAAAGGTAAGTTAGAATACTCGTCAATTATTACATTAATAAAAAATAGCCATAAACTCTAGCATATATAATATTCACATATCTTATCGAGATAACATTAATAACAGAATCCCAACTGAGACTGGTAAAATATTGCCACTATGTTATTTAAAAATAAACTCAATTTGATCTTGACTCGCTTGAACCTTTGACAAGTAGATGAAGGTGCTATTCATTACTTGCACATATATTTGGTTCCACTGCTGGCAATTCTGAGTACAAAACTAAACTTGTAGCAGGAGAGGTCGCTTTATGCTTGGAAGCAGCATCTGTATATATTAGCCCAAAGTACACTTTAGTATTCCAAACGGCAAATAAGATGACTGAACTTCACACCTTCAATTTCTCGACCCAGTTGATTGGCAGAAAGCTGAAGAAAAAATAAAACAGAGAGATTGCCTAAGAAGAAATGCAAACGGTTTCCGAATATTAAGATGTCTGCACCCGCACTTCTTTGATACAGAATTCTAGTTTATGCATTAAAGTAATAAAAAACGAAAAGCTATTCTATTGCACATGAAATGAGTAAAGTTGCTATTGAAAAAGTTAAAAAGAAATGAGAGATGCTTACAATATGCTTTATATCACATCAGGAAATCTCGAATTCGTACCGGTCTCTTCACTGCATTTGTGAATCCCTGCATGGTATAAGTTTTTTTTATGTTAAAGATGAGCATAGCTTCAATTCGCGAAAAATGAATTAGCTTAAAGATTCTTGGCATCTTGCAAGTGAACCAATAAACACTGGAGTTCGTCAATTTAATAAAATAAGCAATTTAAGGAAAAAAAAAAGGAGCTTATTTTTTTCTGAAGATCTCAAATTCCAAATAACTTACTAGCACATGTCCAATTAACGGTTCAAGAAGATAATTTCACATTATAAAAAATCAGAACTTGAGATAATAATTTGGTTAACCTGGACAAACAATCTTGGTGCAATATACACATACAAAGAGCATGCCTCCGCCCACCCGGCATCCCCACCCAAAAAGAGCAAAGTCAAAGAAAAAGAAGATATGTGCAGAATGAGACATATAATATCTTCAGAACTACATTTAGATGGCTGCAAGTCCTGTATAATATATAGCAGGAAAGTGAAGATCCACGTAAGGCTCAATACAACACGATAATTAAGCTTGACAAGCAATAAAATGATGCTAGAGTGCATAAAGATATGGTAATTGATTGAGTCACATCACAAGGAACAAGGGTGGACGGATGTGTAAGGAAGTTCCCAAGCTATCCTACCCATCTTTTGTAACCAGGTTAATATGGATTTTTTATATTCCTTTCGATAGATCCATAATTCCATTGACATTAATGCACTCAAAAGGATTTTTCGGGGTTTTTTTTTTTAATGGCTTTCCGTGGTCTTTTGGACCTGTCTGGATAAAGAACCCTCAGCATTAATGCACCTTGTTAGAAGGATCAAACTCTAGGAAGAGTGTAGTGTATAATACTTCAACATCATTAGCTCTCAATTCATGTCCACAGATGTGGTGGACGTATTATACCCAAAGAAGCAAAAAAGAACAACTCCTGACAGGAGGAGATGGTAATATATTCAGGTGGTTGGCTACATTGTGAGGGTTAGAATCCGAAAGATCATTGCTTATATCTTCAACTCTATTTTCCAAGCCAGGTAAAAGTTTTTAACATAGTTAACGAGGCTCATTGGCAGAACTACCATTTACTTCTGCTGGCAACAAAATACAGATTATCAGTTATTTTTATTAGGTTTCCTAAATTAAGGGCGACCAAATTAAAACACTCAAAATATTCTATTTGAGCAGAATTCCTACCTCATACAGACAATAAGAATAGACACCCTAGCACCCCTCAAGTACATTTTAGGAGGTGAAATTTGGATGCCACTCACATTACAACTACCAATACAGCATGTGGATAGGCAGAAACTAGAAAGAATTAACAAAGAAGTGTAGCATTGTAGCACAAACAGTAATTCTGCCCATCCACATAAAAAT